CTAGTTGTTTCTAATTTCTTTTATTAGTAGTTTCTAATTTCTTTTTAGTAGTTTCTACTTTCTATTATTAGAAGTTTCTAATTTCTATTAAGTTGGGCCTGCTGGCCTTATTGTTTCTAATTTTTGTTTATTTCCTATTCTTGTAAGGATCCTAAAAGCTATAAATAAAGRAGTGTATGGGGYGGCAGATCATTCACCACCGAACCCCTTCTTTCTTTTCTCCTCTCTCTCTCTCTCTCTCTCTCTCTTTTCTTCTCTTCAAACCTGTAATACAGTAACAGTTCTTCTTTTTCTTCTTTCAAGTAAAAGCAGTTACACCTTATGTATTGCTTGATCGAATATTGAATGTGCACAACTTTCAAAAAAAAAGTTCCTCACATTAGATGTTTTGCAGGGGATGTCCATGAATGATCTCTATTTGCGCTGTATGCAATTCTCCACTCATTACCAGCTATTCAGTTCTCTATTACGTTGTACCCCACCTTGAGACAAGTGAATTCAGAAGCTCAAGGGGGAATCCAGGAGTGGCTGGAATAGGAGGCATCTTCTACAGGGCAGAAAAGAGTCTGTTGCATTTTTTAGTGGGATGATCAGTATTACTGATTCCACTAAAGCACGAGTTTCTGCTCTCTTGACTGGCTTATGAATCGCAAGACAACAGGGTTTTACCTCTCTATCTATTGAAGGGGATTTGGTAAATACTATTGGATGGAGCAGAGGGAAAGAACATGATCCCTGGCATCTGGAACATATGTTGAATGAGATCATCATCATCATCCAAGACTTATCCCAACTATATGGGGTCAGCTACATGAATCCTGTTTTGCCATTCCATTCTGTTAATGAATGAGATAGGAGATATTATCGTTATCATTTTGGAAGCTTGTATGAGGTGGTCCCAAGGGGGAGGGGTGAGCTTAAAGGAAGATGGGTTAGCTAAAACATGGGCTGGGAGGGATCTTTCGTATGATGATTTTCTCCTGCCAGAGTAAATTTTTTAGCAGATCCTTCTTTTCCATGTATGCATCTTGTCATGTACACCTCTTATTTTCTAATAGCATACTACTACTATTTTCAAGAAACCAACTATGCTTCAAAAAATTTGAATATCTCATTTATTTTAATATTCAAGGTGAGTTGGGTTAGAGCTTCCACCACATTTACCCCCTCCCACCCCAGGCAACAGTATGAGGAAAAAAGGTAAGAAGAATATTAATTACAGTAGAAAGAATGGTATAAGGTTGTTTCTATTGTGAAAGGAGTTTCTATTTACCTAAGGCTAGCAAAATATCAGCTATTTCAATTCCAACAATGAGTTTCTGCCTACAAGTGCAGGACTATATCAGAGCCGAATTTCTTGCTGTACTCCTTTGACAAATTGGCCATTGAAGGGGATTCTAAGCTGGTGGTAGGATGGCTAAAGGACCCAGAGGCAGTAATATGGGCTTATACGCATAGTTGCCAAGGTGACTCGCCTAGGTGACAAGGCGCCCTTGGAGGCTCACCTCGCCCAGTCATCAAGCAGTTTTGTATAATTTTATATTGTTATTTTTTTGAGATTATAATTATAAAATAGACATTATCAAACAAAAATATTAATTTTTTGTGTTCATAAACTAATTTCTTTTTATTATTTTCTTATTTGTTAGGGTTTAATCAACACAAACATTGCTAACTGCTGTATTGAACCCTCAAAGACTTCAAAATCTGAACCAATAAGTAAGGGAAGAACTTAAAATTTTGTCTAATCAACAATTTCTTCTTCCATATCTTCTTCTTCTTCTTCCACCTTTTCTTTTCTTCTTTTCTTATAACAAAAATTGGGGTTCGGCGCCTATATTTTTTGAATTTTCTTTTCTTTCTTCTTTTTATTCTCATAAATATGTTGGTTTTCTAGACTTAAACATGAACTTTATAATTTTCCTATGAAAATTATGGATAGTTATTAAGGAAAGATGGTTATGGAACCTAGGGAAGTACCCTACGATATGTGGTTTTTACTTAAAAAATCCACCGCCTAGGCACCTGCCTAGGTGACTAGGTGACAAGGTGCCCCCCCAGTCGCCTAGCCTTGCCTTGGCGCCTTGAAAACTATGCTTATAGGGATGAAATCAAGATAATCAAATGGATTACTAGCAATATGGCTCTAAGAATTCAATGGGGTAGAAGAACGGCTAATGGGATGGCAGATACTTTAGCCAAACAAGGAGTTAATAGGGATCAATGTGCTGGACCCCAAATTTCAGAGTATCACTATTAAAAATAGTGTTTCCTTAAAATACCTTAAAAAAAGCTGTATGGGCCACCTGCTTCGAAATTTTGAACATTGCTGGGCACACTTATAATTTGATTTATCATGCTCTGTGAGAGGCTATACCTTGTACCTCTCCTCAGGTCTCTTGTATTGTTTGTTGAGACTAGTTTATTTCAATAAAATCTTATCAAAAAAGAACAAAAACAAAGAAGTGGACAACCCTGAGATCAACACCCCCAGTTTGATCAAATGAGAGAAAGCACTCAAGAGAATATGCACAAGGATTGATCCATTTCAAGGGCTTCCCAAGAAACAATTAGTGAACTTCGAATCCCTGTAACTTGCTATTGTCCCTCATTATAAGAAATTTTTTAAAACTCCAACCTGAAAGTTAGACCATTTGGATGCGGCCTAGATCATTCTCATCTAGGTTGCCAAGTTAATTGACATAACATAAATAATCAGATGAAATTATTTAGACTGTCTAATTGTGAGGAAAACTATGAACCTCTCAGTTCACTGTGAACCATCTAGGTTGAGTGTGACGTCCTACGGGATAAAAGTGAATGAAAGGGACTGTGAATCTTAGATGGGTGGGAGATCAGCTTCTAGTATTTTCTTTGATAATGGTCAGAGAGAGAGAGATTAGGAGTCAATAAGGACACAATTAAACTGACCTTATCATGTCTTCGTTTCTACAACAGTTGGGATCTTCTATATGCTTAATATATATGAATTACTGTTATCAGTTCAACTGGACAGTCTGGATGGATTGGACTGACCTCCTCACTACCAGATTGACCTCTAGTCTGGTTTTTATAGTATTGACTAGAAGTGCCAATTATAATGAGCAAAAAATAGAAAGTAAAAGTATCAGAAGAATATGAATCAAATGTTTCTGAATAGAACAAAAGGGTTAACTGACAACAATTTCAATGAATTCAGAAAGTAGTGAGGGGAAACAACAGCAGCTGTTTCAGTAGTGTCCTGTACCATGTGAAGGTGTATGACATGGATGAGGTACATCGCTCCTACCCCAATGAAGAAAGAACCCACCACAACAAAAGTAGTAGTAGTAGTAATAATATATGGAAACTGTTTATTGATAACATATGACAGTAGAGAAAATAAAGAGTAATAACAATCAAACCTTCGTGTAATGAGTATCCAAGTCAACAGCGGCTCTTTGCTCAGGAGTCTTTGCCTTTAAGAATCGGATTGCAATGGATACAATCTGACGGTCAAGCTGAAGAATAGAAACAATTTATTTACTCATTTACATGTTTTATACCTGAAAATAAATTGATCCATTCATCTTGCAAATAAATAAGTTCAATTTACAGGTAGAAGTTTTGCAACAATGTAATCTAAGATTTCGATTTGTAAGTGATTATAGAAGCTTGTATGGCCTCAAATTCTACCCAAAAGTCAATTTGGAAGAGGTGTATCTTTATGAAAACCATTTTCTACTTAGTTCTAAGTATAATGGATGTTAAGTCACCAATTAACTTTATGTCAAGAAGAGATCCTGTATTTATGTAGGAGGAAACAGTAGAAAATGGAGAGTCTAGCTTTCATTTCTTAATTTTAATGTGAATCAACTTAGCTGTAAAAGCAAATATATAACTTCAAAATTAAGATAACCAAAATTAATCTGTGGCATGGGAAATCTGTCTTTTCCAATTTTAGTTGTCACTATTATTCAGTATTACTTCGTTCTCTTGGTTTTATTATTATGTTTTCTCCTGAGTGAATAAAGGCAACAAATGCAGTATGCACACATACAATTTCCCCTTTTTGCAGTAGCCTATAAGAGCTTTGAGACACCAAGCATTGCTTGAATCATGTAAACATAATCTCCATGTTCTGTGGACAAGAAAATATTAGATTGTTGGCTTGCTTAATAAAGTTAGCATCGGACAGTTTTGAAGGTTGATAAGATTTTCTAGTTCAAAGGATTCTTAAATTAAAATGTAATATAGAACCTAAAGAAAGTTTTTGATTAATCAGCTACTATAAATGCAATACAACCCACTGAGGCCACAATAATTTACTTGCAGAAAATAAGCACAGAAAATTCTGTTGTATTTCCAAATCACAATAGATAAAAACCTAATGGCCTTGCTGGAACAACAAAGTATAGTACAAAAGTTATAGCAGTTTCATTATTACATAAGGCTTCCCACAAATAAAACCCTTTGGTCAGAGATCCTGCAACTATGGGTTTAGTTCCATTAAATGTAATCAGATAGATTTTTTGTTTTTTGGTACAAGATCAGAACAATCAAGAAACTATAGATGTTACCAAATGAAGAATCTTTTGAGTCAAATTGTTTATCCAGAACAAAAGAGAAGGAAAGAAAGAAAACTACAAGGTGGATTTGGATGCTTGAATCCAAATTGATCGGGTAAGCGAGTAACGATCCAAGGAGAAACAGGATGCTACAATGCTGTAACTTCTATTGGGCATATGATCCATATTGTCTCAAATCTGGTTTATGCACGGGAAAGTATATGGTAATTCAAAAAAATTTTTTGTCCCTATTTTCAAGTTAGGTACCTCAAATCTACAGGCATTTCATGAAACTGGAAGTATTTCACAATTAAAGCATATCCAGTTAAAACATCTATAACTTTAGCATAAACATAAATCCTGACCCATCAGTAAGGATTGAGTTCTAGGTATACACACATAACAAGAGAAAAGCCACTTTCTGAGTGCTCCATTAACAAAGTTGATATAAAAAATTATTGAGAGACCTTTGGGAAACATTCAAAACCTCCACCAGTTGCATTAAGTAAGGCCAAAGACAATATCCTATCTGGCACCATTGCAGCCAACTTGCAAGCAATCATAGCTCCTGTATTCATGGAAAATAAGAAGTTTAATAAAACAGAATCTAATTTAAACTCATTTTGGCATCTTTAACTCGGTTGAATTATTACCAAAAAAACTCAGTTGAATGTGTATAACCATCGTAATATAATCACTTTTTGTTGTATTATCTCTCCTTGTACTGCTGATATGGTCCCTTGCTATCAGGTTTATTCAGCAGCATAGGTTTTCCTTCCCTTTATATATTAATGAAGCTCTTTTGATCTTTATTAAAGATCAAAGAAAATATTATCAATACAATTACATTACTTGAACAGAACTATACTCCAATCCAATTCCTTTAACCACGTAAAATAAAGAATTGGGACATTGTAAGACACCAAGCAAAAGTGACTTATTAAAGAAGCTAGACAAAACTGAAACATTCCTTCCCTTTCTATATTAATGAAGCTCTTTTTGATCTTTATGAAAGATCAAAGAAAATATTATCAATATAATCACATTACTTCAACAGAAACTATATACCAATCCAATTCCTTTAACCAATTAAAATAAACAATTGGGGCATTGCAAGACACCAAAAGCAAAAGTGACTTGTTAAAGAAGCTAGGCAAAACTGAAACTCTTAAGAATTAAAACTCTGCAGAAACATGGACCCAATTTTGTTTTTTTTTCCGCTCTAAGAAAATTTATGATTAAGAGTCATGCTAGAACACACTGAACCGATTAAGTTTCATTGTAGTTGATAAGCATACTTACATACCCAAGAAATTAGGCTGAAGCAACTGATCACACTGAATATTTTAGATATGGGTTTTATTAGGAAATCAAAATCTTAAAGCTGGAAAAGAAGTAAATATCTCAAGCATACCCATTGAATGCCCAAAGACATGAGCCTTTTTCCATCCCAAATGGTCCATCAAAGCTATTGCATCTTTTGCCATGATAGTTGTTCTGCCATCCATTGCATACAAGTAAGAATTACTTGGAAAATTTTGTTTTCTATAATCAATGTATCGTCCAAACATAAAAATACTACAATGGTTTCGTTTGCTTTTTTCTTTCCTTTTCTAGTGCTAAAAGAGCTTTCAAAACGATCACTTTCCTTCTGGGTTTTTCATAATGTCAAGTTGGAGTCAATTTAGCAAAATGCTACCGGTACAAAATCTCGAATTGCAGGAACGATAACATGAAGGACATTAAAAGAAGAAAAAAAAAACTATAATCACAAAAGGAACAAGACCTTACGTATATTCTGATTTTTTGGTGGGAACCGAGCTCCGACCCATCCCACGGTTGTCGAAGGAACAGACCTCTATTCCCCTGTTGGCGTCGGCAGCTTCCCATTCCTCTGGGTCGTTGGGATTTTGATTGGGGACCGCCCGATCGGCATCATTGGGTGTCACCGAACCCGTAAGGCCCTTAATTTGGGGACCCCAGGAATCATGAGTGCCTGCCAAACCTGTTCACAGCACGCAGACAGAAAAGAAATAGAATTTAAACAGGAAGAAAAAGGAAAAAGAAGGGGAAAGAGACGGAACAAACCAATAATGAGAAGAACTTTGGTAGTTCCATGACCATAAGTTCTATAAAAAATCTTAGATCCATTGTTTCTTTCTCCTCCTTCTCTCTGGTACTGGTTGACGTCGCAAAACGGCATCCTTCCGGAATTCTTCAGGGGATGAGAAGAGAGAAACAGAGAGGAGGACTCTACGTTGCAAGAAGCTCAATTGAACCAACGAACTCAGAAGGCGAGAACAGAAAACGAAGACCAATTGAGTTGATGTTTGGACTGCTTTTTAATGGGGGAGTGTTTGACCGAGGCCACGAGGCGGATAAAGATTGGTGCGGTTCCACGTCAAATGCAGACACCAAGAGTCGAAAGTCGAAACAGAATCCAGAGAGAAAAAAATCAATTTAAGACTCCGCAATCCCTTTCTCCTAATTATTGTTATTAATTTACGGCAAATCAACATTAATCCTAATCGTAGTTGGATATTTCTAAATTCTAACTGCATCTTCGAGGCGATGCTAGCAGACAGCAATACTGCACCTTTGCACGTACAACGCGATATTATATAGTATGATCACATCCATGGGAACTAAGTATATCTTTTATATGTCTGTAGCGCGTTGTACATATAAGAAAGCTAAAGATGTTTCCACTTTCGCAAACCAAACAAGAGATGGTCGGTGGAGATTATTCCACTCCCACGTTGAAAATGTGTGTTCTTTTCCGGAACAAAAGGAAGTCGACAACCGATGACGACGAGAGAGAATAGCATCTTTTATGGGTTGGCTAAAACCGTATTTGATTGAATACGGTGCCATTGAAGTTTGTTTGGCCCCAACTTTTACATTAGTTTGGACTTTGGAGTCCACACACACAAAGTGTCCACGGTTCGTTAACCGAGCCATAGCCGAAATTTTCAAATCGAATCAGTCTCACCAGTTTTTGATTTCTTCGAACCGGAACTGAATCGGTATTTCCAGTTAATGGGTTGATCGTTTCGGTTTTTTATTTTTATATTTATAATATATATAATATTATATTATGAAAAATAAATGATATATAATATATTATAAATATTATAAATATTATATATAATGCATATATATATATATATATATATATATATATTGATGGAGGGTGATTAGGCCCGACCTCGCAGCACGAGTACACGTGGGCGTGACCTTGCTCAAACAGTGACTCAGCGTGACAGCGCACTGACATAACCTCAACTCAGGGGGAGGGTCTCACTGAGTTGAGCTCGGCAACTGAGTAGATAAACTATTCGCCGGAAGCCGTCTTGCCTGCATCTCCTCCCCGGGGTTAAAGTACTTCGGGGTGTTTCGAGATTGGGGTACCCTGACCTTTCTTGATGCCCGAGCTCCTCTTGATGGACTTTGAGCCACTCCCCGACGGGAGCTCACTGACCCACCTCTAGACATCCCGGGGCGAAAACACCTCGGAGCCAGGTAGCTCAGCATAGCCTACCACGGGCAGCTCGCCGCCTATGGGATAGCCCAGCATGGGGTAACTCGCGAAAGAGTAGTTTGGCATACCGCCGAAAGACCTCCTGCCCGACCACCGTACCCGACAAATCTGAGGACAGCAACCATGTCCCTCGTCAGGCAGTGTCGTGCCTGCCACCTTTAGAAGGTACCTTACACCTGACAGGTACGTACCCTGCGGTGACGGCCCCGTGCGTGCCACCTCAGCCTTGCTAGTAACGGCTGTGGCAGGCTGACAGTGGCGGTTATACCTGCTCTGTCAGAAG